TAGGAAACTAACATCAGATTCGTGACATTCAGTAAAACTTTCTTGACTCACTGGAAGAGTGGCTTATAATGTGGAGAATCATTGTCAATACAGACGAAAGTAAAGCCATCATTTTCAGAAAAGGTCATGCCAGGTCTCCATATGAAGATATGGAGATAGAAAGGATCAATCAAGTCAAATTTCTTTTCCTAATTCTTGACAGCAAATGAAGATTCCAGAAACATTTCCACACTGTAAAGACAAAATGCTGGGGTACATTACATCTTTGCTTGCCGTCAATAGAAAAATATTCGACGTTATTTTTACAAAACAAACAAGTCCTTAGACCCATCCTGACTTACGCAGCATCCATCTGGGACCTTATTGTAAAAACAAAATCCAAGTTGTCCAAAATGTAATCCTTAGAATAATGACGGGAGTTCCTTGGTTCATTAGAAATGACGTGCTGCATCATGACCTTCAATAGAATCCCTTGACGATCCTATTACGAAGCTATCAAGAAAGTTGTTTTTAAATATCAAAAACCACGAAAATAATTTAATGAAAGCTCAACTCTTCTTCGCCCACAACGAACATACCACTACACCTATTTCACTACAGGATGGAATTATGACATCAACTCTCCTTAATTACTTCTATGACCCACGTGCAATATTTTCTCTCCAGCCTTAGAAAGTGTCTCACATTTTCTCATCTGCCTTCATAGTGATGATAGTAGATCGTAGGGCTGACAACCCTAGCCCGTAAAAAGAAAACATCTTCTGTTTCAAAATCTGCCAGTAGGTAAAAGACCATGGTCCAGCATGAACTGTAGTGCCAGAGACTTAGTTAGATATTGAATTAATGAGAATAAAAAAAATACAACTTTTTCTTAAATTTTAATTATGAAAATCTAGCATTTTGTGTACTTCTTATACCCAGAGAACTGACATCTTATTAGATAGGACATAATTTATTCATCTACGGAATGATATCTAGAATTACTTTTATTTGCGTGCCAGATATTTTGTATTAATTGAAATTAATTGCTCTAAATAAGTAATAAAAAAAAAAACGCATAGAGTTTTCAGAATAAAATTTCTTCTTAATTCTTTAAAATGTTGCTTGTCGAAAAGAATTTATTAAAATACATCTTTGTTTAGGAAAAATTATTTCAAATACTTTATAACATCAAAATTAGATTTCTAAAAGCAAGATTTTAAGTGCAACTTTGTAAATGATGGTAGAAAATGAGTTACATTCAAATTAAAGAAGCAATGCTTATAAAAAACAAATAAATAAACACTTACGAGATATCTATAAAAGCTAATAAAATAAAAAATAAAAAAAAATCTTTAAAGGAAAATGGTTGGAAATTTCTATGCAAACCTTAAATAAAAAAAAAAAATAAAATAAAAAATAAATAAATAAAAACATTATTCTATCCGGTGGATTCAAATAAATCATTCGTTTTCTCGGAAAAACATAAAAAGGTGGGGATAAAAAAAAAAAAAACTTGTTTTGCAGATTCGTGAAAGTAGAAAAAAAGGGAGAGGCCCCTTCACCGCTTAGGCGCAGGGCGGATCCACGAGAAGGGGGAATCTGTCACCACCAATTAATTAAAGGCGGAATGGCAACAACCCTCCCTCTGCGAAACTATTTCCACCCCGAGACGGGAATGCGAAAAAGAGGGAATTAGCTGCCTTTGCAACAAGTATTTTTAGGGAACAAGTGCATCGCACCTATTTTTTTCCCCCTTCATTATTTTAATTATAATTATAGGGGGAAAAAAGCGAGAATAGTTGAATTCAGGTATATGAAATAAAACCTTTGTTTGCATAAATGAGACAGGATTATATAAAGGGATCTTAAGATTGTTCAAGGGCTTTATATGAGCATAATTTAAAAAAAAAAAATTTACCGGTACCTGTTTTGTCATAACAAGTTATGATTTGAAAACTTTATTCACTACTAGATTGGATAGGAGAGTTGAGTACCTGTGTACATATACTCATAATTTAAAATATAATAAAAAAAAAAGAATTAGCAGAAGTTAAAAATTTAAAGCAAACTGTTAATAGGAAGGGGAAAAAAGTTAAAGGGAGGGGGAACTAAATAAGTAGTAGCAAATAATCAATATGCTGTAGTTTTAATGCAGCTGGCAATACAGAGACAGTGAATCTTTATGCCATAAGCAAGGCTGGCATGACTCCTTCAACACTACCCCAGGGGCACGTATAGCTTGAAGATAGGCTACGGACGCGAATAACATTACCCTCACAACGCTCTACGATACTATTAGACCGGGACCTACACTTTAAAGTGGATTCCGAACCACTACAAATATCCATGGCACCGCCGGGACTCGAATCCGAAACATGGGGTAGCCAGGGCAACAGTGCTAGCCACTCGGCCACAATATAAGCAATATAAAATACATTAATGCTTAATAGAAACATATAAATACCTAAGTACATAGCAGACATATATAAACGCAGATATAATGGAAATATATAATAGAATATACAGATATATGAATACTAAAATAAAAAGATGAGAGATTTTTTGGAACTGGAGAGTCCTATTGCAGGGAGGCTGTGTGTGTGTGTGTGTGTGTGTGTGTGTATTTAACGAGGGAGGCTTGAGGTCGTGATTCCATCCTGTTGTGTAATATGGATAATGGTATTTACCTTCGTTGTGGGCGAAGAAGAGCTGAACTTTCATTAACTTATTTTCAGGGTTCTGGATATTGAAAAACAACTTTCTAGTTAACTTCGCAATAGGATCGTCCATTGATTCTGTATGAAGCTCATAATCGTTTCGAATGAACCAGGGATCTTCCGTCATTATTCTAAAGATTTTATTTTGGATAACTTGGATTTTGTTTCTATTTGTTTCTGCAGCAAGGCCCCAGATGGGTGCTGCATAAGTCAGGATGGGTCTGAGGACTTGTTTGCATAAAAGGAGTTTGTTTAGAATATTTTCGCATTAACGGCAAGCTAAGATGTAATGTGTTCCAGCAATTTGTCTTTACAGTGTGGAGATGTTTCTGGAATGCTAATTTGCGTCGAGGAAAAGGCCAATATATTTGACTTGATTGACTTACTTTATACACTGTAATTGTTAACTGGCATTTTTAAATCTGTAACTGTTAAGTGATTTCGCATTTCTGAAATTTAAACATGTGTCGAGATGAACGTTTAAAATATGTAACAATAATGAAATTTAAAAAATTTAAAAATAATTAATAAATCTTTATACAAGTTACGAAACTTTTTTTTTTTATGATAAGTATTTATAAAATTATATTTTATTGTAATACACACTTTCTTCTTTCTAAAATAATATGTTCCTTATATAAGATTGAATAAATTACCAGCGATTAAAAAAGGAAAGAAAAAGAGGTTTGGCATAATTTTGCCTCTTTCTGACTTTTTGTCCATTTTCGTTATTAAACATAATAATAGTAGCCTTGAGATTTCTTTTGTTCTACTTTTAATATCAAATTATATTAAAGTAGTGGGGTTTTTTAAAAAAGTTTTAAGGTTATTTTTATTATTATCTGCAATTAATAACTTTTATTTGTTGATGTTTCTAACCCCCGTAGTAGCAGCAATATCTATACCAATTCCATGAACCCGTGGGGTCTCATGAAAGGAGGGAAAGGGGGGGGGGCAGCTTCTGTTGTGATGCAGCACCCGTAGGTAGAAGTCATACTTGGCTCCGTGTCGCTGACTTTTTACGGGCTATGGTTGTGAGCCCTATGCCTAACACACTACAGTTATATTAGACAGGGACCTAAGGTTTAAAGTGGACTTCGAACCACTACAAACATTTTTGGCACCGCCAGGACCTCTTTTCAATATCATTGTGCATACTTAAAATGTAACTAAAAATCTATTTTTATATTTTAAACAGGTTTTACATTATTATTATCATCATCATTAGTAGCGCAACAGCCCCATGTTGGGCCCAAGGCCGTCTGCCTACTGATAGATTTCGATACGAGAGATGGTTTCTTTTATGGGGTACGCTGGAAATCCATATTAGACCAGGACCTATGGCTTAAAGTGGATTCCAAACCATTACAAACATCCATAAAACCTTCAGAACTAGAACCCGAAACCTGCAGCACCGACAGCTAGAGCGCTAGTCACTCGGCCATCAGGCCCTTAAGTTGTATTTAAATATAACGATAATCCACTACAAATATTTAATTTCTTACAGCAAAAAATATTAAAATATGTTAATACAATTAGTTGTCAAAGAAGGTGCCTGTTTTTTATTTATTTATTAAATAATATTTTGGTTTTCTTTTGTGATTTCATGTTAGGCAAATAAAAAACTAAGTTTGGCTTAAGCTATATTTCACAAAAATATTTTTGTGCGCAATTTCTTAATCAAGATATTTAAGAAATTTTTAAACTTAAAATTAGACTTAATATATTTTTTTAAACTTAAATCTTTATATCAGAATAATTAGCAGCAATTTTAAAGGCAAGATTAATTAAAGTTTGCATTCCTCAAGATTATTTTACACATAATTTTTGTATTTTAATTTTGATACATTTAATTGAAACTTATTATTTCTCAGAAATACATCCCGTCCTCATTTGAACCTATTCACGGTTTACAGTCTTCTCTACAGTTTGAGAACTGTATTTAGGTGTTACTCGATATCCTATTTAATATGCAGGTCTTCGCAGCTGTTTAGGACGTTGATCCTGAATGTGTCTAGACAAGTACATATTTAATACCATATCTGAAAATAGCCTTTTAGATTGCTGATGCGAAATCCTGGGCATTTCAAAAGTAATCCAAGAGAAATGGGCTCTTCGGACAAGGGAAATCTTCAGAATTCGAGAAACCTTTGCTTTGGAAAATTCTTAGATGACTTCAGTATACTCAACGGTATAGAATTATATACATTATAATGAGTAAAAACAAGCAAGCATTACTTTAATAGAATTGAAAATTATGATTTAAAATAATATTGTAACCATGCTTCCTCCTATGCACTGGGTGGCGTGTTGACCAATTGGTTAGTTCTCTGGCCTTTGGTACCACAGGCTTCAGGTTCGAACCCTGACGGTACCGTAGATGTTTGTGAATGGTTCGGTACCGACGTTAAACAGTAGATCCCGGTCTAATTAGCCTAAAGTGAGCACAAAATGGCCGTAGAGCAAAAAACCAAACCTACGCACTAGCAAGAACGCCTTATATGGCTTAGGACTCGAGACTCTCATCCGAAAGGAAGTAAAGCACAATCACGCTCTTCTATAGAGAAACATTTAATTTACTGTCTCTCACAGCAAACGGAAATATAATTAACGCAAAACTGTTTAGTAGTTGGCCTATAGACTCTCATCCGGAGAAGAAGTATATTTCACTCACTTTGTGCGTAGCTGGGTATCAGGTTTTCGGCTCAGAAGTGGAATCCTTCTGCGAATCTATAAATATCTGTCTTTAAATGCGTTAAATATTGTAATCTCTAATTGTATATGTGTGATTTTTTATGAGCGTGTAAGCTGGGAATTCTCCAACCTGTGTTTCAAGCATCTCAACCCAACCCTACCCAGTCAAAATCCAGTTGCCAACCTGCACTCTACAATATTGCTTAGTAGTAGAAACTTGGTATTAAAGATGAATTCATCCTAAAAGATAGTATGCCCAATCTCACTGACTTAAGTTTGTTGATGAATCCTTGACGGTCAAGTTTTGGTGCATATGGATTAGTTTAGAACAGGGGTGGCCAACCAGCGGCCCACCTTGAAAAAATTTTTCTGGCCTAGAGATTCATCCACTTTTACAAAATATATTTATTTTATAACGGCCAAAGTAGTGAAATGCCAATATATTATAAAAATACATTATGTGTGCATCCCTATATTCAAAAATTAACTGTCGAAATGTTGAGAAAAAAATAACGGGTTTTAAAATAATATTCTGGCGAATATATGACAGATGTTGCCTGTTTTATTTATTTATTTATTAATTATATGATTTTTATTTATTACAAAATAATTAAATTATATTCTGCGAACTCATGGAACATGTAATATAACAGGTTGTAATATGAATATAAAAATGTCTACAGTGGGTCTAAATTTAATATGGGGTTATATAATTTTGCATGCGTCCCGCGGAGTTAGGATGCATTTCCAAAATGGCCCGCTAGATCATTTGGGGTGGCCATCCCTGGTTTAGAACTTAAATCATCTTGAAGGAGGGACAATAATAATGAAAAAGTTCAATGAATGAGCTGGAACAATGGTTGCTTCATGTACGATCTTTCCTTCTAAGTTTTTCTTTCCTGGTTGACTTCCAAATTTTTTTTTGATTGAAACCAACTCGAGCGATATCTACCCCTTATCAGTTAGGTGACCAATAACCTTAATTGGCAGCATGGAAAGTCGAGGTTGCAATGCATCACAGTCAAGGGTGGACAATTTCCCAATAAAACTCATTTCTCTCCCTTATTTACTTATTTTCAAAACATTTCCTTTAACTTTTTTCCTCACACGATTTACTACTTTAGCACAACATGTAATTATTTATTTATAAATCATGCTTGATGTTAAAATCATAATGATTTAATAAATAGTTGATGTATAATTCTTTCAATTTCCACATTTTGTGTGTGTGTTCATCACATCAAATTCAAATTCAAATCAACCCATTTTCTGCATTATTTCATTTCACTTTATACTTTTCTGCTATTCCATTTCAATACTAATAAATCATTTCATACTAAACACTTCATAGAAGAGTTTACCTTGACTAAACCAGTTTAACCTTGAATTCAAAACTTCTGGATGTTTAGTTGTGAACCCTAATTGTAGCGAATTTTTACCTTAAATTATTATTATTTTTAAATATTTATTTTCCTTTTTATTTGAAGTATTTATTTTTATTTTTTCCGAGTAGCATTTAAAAATTTTTTAAAAACTTTATTTTTTACCATACTAACATTTAAAGCAGCCAACTATTAACTGTGATTTAAATTTATGAATTAAGATGAGGAGGTTAAGGGGTCTTATCCCCAATGGTACTCCGTAAACGGTATGCCAGTTGCCAGCTAGCTGATAACAAACCCAGCATTGTGGAGTTATATATTCGTAAAACACCATTCATTAAATGTTGTTGTTGTTATTTCTTATCCCACTTGAAATATATCCAGACCAAGTTCACGAACCTGTGTGGAACTCATGGTTGAAGGGAAATGAGGCAGCTCCTGTCGTGAGGGAGCACCCGTAGGTAGAAATCTGACTTGGCTGAAAGATGTTCTTACAGTCTTATGAGACAGGGACGTATGGTTTAAAGTGGATTCCGAACAACTACATAACTCTATCGCACCGTCGTGATTCGAACCGATATCAGCACATTCAATGTGTAATCGTTTATATAATAAATATACTTGTCGAATGCATTCAAGTGGCAAAGATATAAAATAATCATAAAGGGTTTATCTTTTTAATGAATTACAAAATGCATATTTTTTCATAGAACGTCAATATTTTTCCCAACATGAGACAAAAAAAAAAAAAAAAAAAAAAAAAAAAAAAAAAAAAAATCTGATATTGAAAGAAATACAAAAAATGTTACAAAAAACAAAAACAAAAAAACAATAAAATTGATAAATATGCTAGTAATTGTTATCCAAATTGAGCAATAAGAGCAATTGGCACATCTTCCACAACTAATCCAGTATTGACAATCTTTTATTGGCACATAATTGAATTTATCTTATCTTAGAATCTGAGCTTTTGAAATGCGGATTTTTCCAAAATATAAACCACAAACAGGAATAAAAGAAAAAAAAATTTAATTTTTGTGCACAGATGTGATTTTGCAGTTGGAAATGCGTTTTGCAGTTGTAGAATGAAGTACTCCACCTGCTGATATTTATTTAATATAACTAACTAATTCACTCCCTGGCACTACAAAAATCCATGGCAACGCCGGGACACGAGTCAGGCCATCAGGCTCCAAATATGTAACAATGGTAGAGAGAAAAATGTTTAACAGTTGAGATGTTTAACAATTAAATTTATTATTATAGGATTATTTATTGTTAATAGTTACTGGAATAATTAAAAAAAATAATACATTGTAAAAGCATCTCATTATTTTTAGTAATTTCTGTGGCTCTTCGTATTTTGTTCATAATTATTTAATGATCTCTTAAATAATAGAAAAATTATTATCTTTATTCATAGATATCCCTTATTAGAAGATGCCTTTCCGACATCCGAGAAGAGAAATACCTTTGGCTCACTCCTGTCAGCATCCCATCATCCAAGAAACCCCACCGAATAGAGAAAAAAAAAGCCCTTCTTAGTCGTAGAAGGAAATACTAGACCGCTTAATATTTATTTTATATAACTAACTTCCTGGCACTACAGTCCATGTTGGACCATAGCTGTCCACCTATTGGCAGATTCCATAACAGGAGATGGTTTCTTTTTATAGTGTAAGGTTATTAGCCCAACAGCTTTACAGTCATGTTAGACCAAGACTTACGGTTTAAAGTGGATTCCAAAGCACTAAAAACATCCATGCCACCGCCAGGATTTCAACCTGAACTCTGTGATACCAAAAGACAGACCGCTAGCCATTTGGCCACCAGGTGGTTTTTATTCCTAAAATAAGATGAATAAAAACCCTTATTTCTATTAAGTATTTAAAAGTTATCCCTATGACCCTATGCTTATTTATCCACTTAATCTACATCTTTAAAACGATAACCTCACTTCACTTTCGTCAATCCAACGCTATCGTGTCATTTCCAACTTGCAAAGCAAGCCTAACCCCTACATTTTGTTTTCCCGATAAAACAAAAAAAAAAGCCATTACCTACATCCCAACACCTCTTCCGTTTTACATCTCCTTTTCTTACGAAACAAACTCGACCCATAGATATCCCTTATCATCTCCTGGAAGATACCCGGCTTTCTGACATCCGAGAAGAAAAATACCTCACCTTTGGCTCACCCCTGTCAAGCACCTCCACCCTCCAAGAAACCTCCACCAAATAGAAAAAAAGAAGAAGAAAACATTTCTTAGTCGTAGAATAATGTATTAGACCGCTTAATATTTATTTTATATAACTAACTCCCTCGCATTACAGTCCATGTTGGACCACAACCATCCAGCAGATTCTATAACAGGAGATGGTTTCTTTTTATAGTGTCAGGTTGTCAGCTCAACGATTATGTTAGACCGAGACCTACTGTTTAAAGTGGATTCCGAACCACTCGCAAGCAACCATGCCTCCACTAGGAGTCGAATCTGAAGACTGTTATACCAAAGACTAGAGCGCTAGCCATTTGGGGACCAAGCCGCTGAAATCAGAGGGCGAAAAAAAAACCTTATTTCTATTAGGTATTTAAAATTTTGTTATCCCTGTGACCCTGTTTTTATTTACCCGTATAATCTACATCTTTCAAGTGATAACCTCACTTCATTTTCGTCATTCCGGCACTATCGTATCATGTCCAACTTACAAAAAAAGGCAAAGCACGCCTAACCCATACATTTTGTTTTCCGATAAAAACAAAAAAAGCCATTACCTACATCCCAACACCTCTTCCGTTTTACATCTCCTTTTCTTACAAAACAAACTCGAGCCATAGATATCCCTTATCAGCTGGAAGATGCCCGGCCTTCCGACATCCGAGAAGAAAAATACCTCACCTTTGGCTCACTCCTGTCAGCACCTCCACCCTCCAAGAAACCTACACCAAATAGAAAAAAAAAAAAAAAAAAAAAAAAGAAACCGACCCAAACTTTCCGGCCCGGAGTTATCTTCCTTTTGTCTTTGCGAACTTCAGACGATCCACCCGGAAGACAGTTAAGGAGGGGGAGTGATGGAGCACCCACTGTTGAGTCATCCCCATCCCCCCACCCCCGCAGGCCGGAATTATTGATTAGAAAAGTTTTGCCGCCTCCACTCTCTCTCGGAAATTGATATTGACTCCCTGGCAGATGGGGGTGGCGGGGGAGGGAGTTTGAGAAGATCTTCCGATACGTGGTGTCTCGGAAAAGAGTGTGCCAGAGTCTAGGCTGGATGTGGCACGGTGGGGAGTTTTTCAAAT